CTATTCTAATTAAATAACATAATAATAATAATAATAATAATAAAATAAGAGAAAGGTTAGGGATGGCAGCAACCGCCACCCTACCTTTACTCTTTATATATTATAATAATTATTATTATTTTGATTTTCTTTTAATAAAATTCCAAATTATAATAAAAGAAAATGCATCTTAATTAAGTATAATAAATCTAATTTATCTTACTTAATTAATTCTATCAAATAGAAGTCTCCTTCAACTTCATGAATTAAATATGTTTAATCTAATTAATATTTAATCCATTTTCAGTATTACGAAATAAATATTATTTAATCCAATTAATAATATTTAATTCCTTCTAACAATTCAATCGAAAGGTATAATCACTTGTTGTGTGACCCATAGGGCCTTATATATTAAGCACTAATCAAATTAAGGTCTTAGCGAATCCCTAGACGATTCTCCAGACAAACTTAATATATATAAGGACGTTTGCGAGGACTATACAAACTCCCTGTAATATAGAGCTCATAGTGATACGGTCCTTTCATTCAGCGAACATTCAACTAAGTCTAGAACATGATATAGTGTCTATCCCAATAACTCAGTCTCTGTCTTTCAATCTTTCTAGATGATCCATAACGATCATATTCGATATCCAAAACGAATATATCTTTGCATTGGCCAATGACTTTATGATCCATCTAGATATGAGAAGTAGAATGTTCTCTCTTAATCTATTATGAGGAATGAATCCTTTCTTGGCTCAACTACTACTCCATGTGCTTCGTGATGCACCCAACACATGCCGTATCTACCCCGATTGGAGTGCAAGCGTTGGTCTTGGTCAAAGTACATTACTCCGCACATGTAGTACGTATTGACCTCAAGTCGGAGGACTATTACACTACTCTATACGCCGATAATCCCATAGACACATGAATAGAACTTATCAAAAGGTTTCTCGGTGGGTATGACAATATTCTCTAAAATATCTATGTGACCATCATGAATTACAGGAACTCATAGTCGTGAGATCAACTATACTTTCTAAAAGTATGATGCAGTCCACATACCAATCTTATCGCATATCATCAATATCCCATTCTTGATGATCATTGATTGGGGCTATTTTAGGACCTTATGTTATATCATATAAGCTCCCACTTACTTATTGACAACATAAGTCCAAGGGAACACAATTATGAATAAGATATTGACAATTAAAATACTTAATCGTCAATGTGTAATACCGTATATATCAAATATATAAAAATGAATGTGATCAAGTACATATATCTCTAAAAAGTGATTGTCGCTAAGACATATATACTAACAGTAGACATCATCCCTTCACTTCCACTTGCTCCCGCACCCAATCCCCAAGTACTATGTATAAAACATGTCTACATATCCAATTGTTTCACAAACAAAATTGAAGCTAGCTAGTAAGATTTTCATGGTTAAAGTTATCCTAAAACCACTCGCCTAGCTCTTTCTTTCACAATTCCATCTTTTTTTTTCAAGGCTTATGGTTGCCAATATTCAATCTAACTCTAATTCTAAGATATGCCCTCTAGATTTCTCCGATTAGAAGCCACAAACCCTACCTGCAAATTCTTAGGTTTTATATAATCCCTATTTGAACGGAGACATAATCTCCTAATCGCAATGTGACTGCATTCATCCCGCAACGACAATGCTTTTAAATTGACAATCAACACCGCAACGCAACCATAACTTGATTGTATTCGTGCCGCCGATAGCGGATTTAGTATTTAATTTTGGGGTGTTCAATACTTTTTTGCAACTAGAAATTTAAAATAACTATATTACATTTACATGTATATACTTGCATATTTTTCAAAAACATGAGTGTTCATATGAAGATGTTGGAACAAGAGTGGCTCTGTAACTGCGGGTCGCATCGCAACCAAAACACTATTTATTTATTTCGTTTGTACCTAAAATCAAATCATCGTACGTGTTAAGTGACCGCAACAGTCGCAACCACAATAACCACATCTTAAACCATGGTAACCACCACCAATAAGGCAATAAGCTGCGTTTGAGAAGATCGCCCCTTCTCATTTTCGATCAAAAGCCCATTGTTCCTTTACGATTTGATTTCGCACCAGTAGCCCTTCATCAAAGTTCACCACTCGCCCATCTTCTCCACCTCTTCTCATCTCTCTGTTTTTCTTTCCGTCGTAGTTGCCTGTGTAGTTTTTACTGTTTGAGCATGTGATTTAGGACACAAGGGGAGCCTACTTCATTCCTGAGGAGTCTCAAATGAGTTTTACATTAAACTTAAATGAGTATACGCCTAAAAGTAATGAACATATTAATATTGAACATATTGAAAATGAGTTTTATATTAAGATCGAATGAGTACAACGTTCAAAACGAATGAGCATACACAAATGCACTTTTTAATTTTTGATACCCATTTTCTAAGGTATAAATGCTCATTTGGTACCACTTTATGCTCATTTAAAATGTTGCACATTTCAAACGCATACTGAAAAATAATAAAACAAAAGTGAATTGGAAGATAGGGAGCAGAGAACACTGATGCTCATTAGTAGGCTCATAGTACTCAAAAAAATAGACTTGATTCTCACCAAAATTGCATCAATGCTCATTTAAGAGAATCTATATTTTTCATTAAAATTACAAAATTGCCACCGGCTGTACGTCTGGCACCGTACAACCGGCTGTACGGTACGCTGCCCTCGCACCTTGCTCTTCACACTGTTTTTCTTTTGCCAACTTATCGAAGACTACCTGCATTGGAAGCCAAATTTAATTTAATACATAATGTCCTAATTGATGATATGGCACACTTAATCTTCACTAGAAAGCTCAGCGTTGCGGTTGCTCCAAGGAAAAATATCGTTCATGCGACCGAAAACGGTAAAATACACCGTACGGCCGGCTGCACGGTGCTCACCGTACAAATGGATTTTTTTGTAATTAAACCTCCGTGATTCAGCCCTGCAACTTGCGATTCAGCCTTGCAACTCACCAACGAAGACGACGAAGGACGGCAGATCGAAAGTCTGGAGCAACTCACGAAGGCAGATCGCCGATAGCCAAGCTTCCAAGTGCAACTCACGAGTCACGACTGAGATTCTTAGCCGACGCAGAGACGGCTCTACCCCTGCGAGCGATTCCTATTATTCACACTCTATTTTTCGGTCTCCGCTAATTACTGGCCTACTACATGGACTGCCACATTTTTTTATACAAAATGAAATTATGAGCATAGTAGACATTTCGAATGAGTTTTATGATTGCTCATTTTGTAATTTATGTATACTCATTTGATATTTGCTTAATACTCATTTTAAATGAAATGAGTTTTATGTTAAACTCAAATGAGTATACCGCCCAAAAAGAATGAGCACACACAAATGAACCTTTTAGTTATTTGATACTAACTTGTAAGTTATGTATGCTATTTTAAAATGTTGAACATTTCAAATGTATCGTGCTAAACGAAAAAATAATAAACCAAAAGTGATACTCCCTCCGTTCCTAAATAAACTTCCAACTTTCCCTTTTTCGTTCGTTCTAATTAAAACTTCCACTTTTCCTTTTTGGTAAAGAATTTGTGGTTCACAACATTTCTTACACATTTTTTCTCCTCTGCACAACTCTCCACCACACAATATCCACTATCTTAAACTTTGTGTCAAATCAATGTGGAAGTTAAAATGGGAACGGAGATAGTATATAAGGTTTGAAGCAGAGATAACTGATTCTCACCGTTAGGCTCCTAATACTCAAAAGAACATGATTGATGCTCGTCAAAGTTGCATAAATTCTCATTTAGGAGAATCCGCGATTTTCACAAAAATTACAATTTTGCCACCTACTGTACAGTGATCACCGTACAATCGGCCGTAAAATATACGCATCCCCCGAAAACCCCTCCTCACAAATCACAATAGGCGAGAAAACAGGGAAGCATATTTAATCCTTTCTTTTGAGATATGATGAGTTGGAAAATGTAAAATTGTACTGTAAAAATCAATTATTTCTTTCTATAAAATTCTTTCTATAAAAGAAAATAAAATACCCCGGATTGTTCTCTTTCGGCAAAAAAGGAAAATTAGGAAATTTCTGTCAGAGTATCAACACTCTTTTAGAACACGGCTCGGTACACGTACGCTGCGCAATACTCCGTAGTTTGATTTTATAATCTGTTTCCCCATCTCTCATTCTGTTTCTTAAAGCATAATAATTGCATCTAACAGTGCTAAATGGGAAACAAATACGGAGTTAGAAGTAGAAAACGATGATTAAAGATTGAATTCAAGAAAGAAATTAGCGACTAAAAAATAGACAGACTGGCAAGGTTTCGATTTGTTGCAGGAATCGAAACTCTCTACATTCATCCTTCGACTAACGTGCGCCACTGGACACACAGTAAGTCATCTGGCAATCTTGTGGCTCCATTTTCCCCTCCTAATCATATATTATAGTATTCAGATCCCGACATAAAAAGCAAAAAACAAAAACAAATACGAAATTTTGTTGTTGCCCACGCTTGAATATATGAAATCTGTCTGTTTTTGAGTTTTAACTTTTAGTGGGCATGTCAATTATTAAAATAAAAGAAAGCCTTTTTGTTAGATTCTTTCTCCGTACAAAAAGTGTATTTTTGGGGGCATGATCTCATGGGCAGAGAGAATGGAGTAAAAAGGTTCAATCTTGATTCCGGAAAGAGTCAACAGTCCAGCCGGCGTGATCTATAATTTTTGCAGTTACTAGTATTTTCTTGATTTTTTTTCTGGTTTTGTAACTTTGTTCGTTTCCAAAATACTTTTTTCTGTTCGCAAGGTAATGAAAAGCCTTTTTTTACCAGGGGTTAAAATTATAGTATGGCTTTTTACTTTCCCTCCGTGCTTTCCACTTTAAGGGGACTTTCTTCCTTCTCCCATGACTGATTTGACAGCTATATTAGCGGTCAAATAAACCCCATGTCTCCCTTTGAACAATACTAGGGTTTAGATATATGGAAGACTATTGAGTACTGACAGCTAGAGATGGTGGTGCAATAAAACGGAGTCGTGGGTGTTTTATTCCAACCCGCATTTGCTTCTCCTTAAATTTCGTGGGTTTGGGTTGTTGTGGGGTGTAAAAAGATCTTTAAAATCCGTCATCTGGAGAGAGAGAGAGAAGGCTTGTTTTCCGGGAAGTGAAAAAGACTCAATTTTTATGTGTTTATGATGACGACGACCACTACTCTTGGAGGCTCCGTCGGTAGTAGCGGCGGCGGAGGCGGCGTAAGTTCCAGAATGGTGGCGGAAAGTCCGTACAGTTGTACCATGACAACTCGGCCACAACGGGCTGACCCGCCTGTGGTCCAGACCCGGCCCATGTTCAACCCCCCTCCGTTCTCTCTTGCCCTTGTATGAATATCCAACCATCTTTATTTTTTTCCCGAAAAAATGGTCAAAAGATTCATGTGACTCGTAAAGCTTTGATTTTTATTTTGCGAAAGAGCTCATGGATAATAGTGTGTGCTATCATTGTTTTTTTAAACTTCGCGTGTGCAGAAACCCAAAATGGAGGGTGGTCTGGGAGCGTTAGGAGAAAGCTTTGATCCAGGTTTAATAGGAAGAGGGAGTAGAGAGGATGGATATGAGAGCAGGTCTGGTAGTGAAAATGTTGAAGGTGCATCTGGGGATGATCAAGACCCAACAGCAGGCACTAAATCCTCCAAAAGAAAGAAATACCATCGCCATACTCCTTATCAAATCCAAGAACTTGAATCGTAAATAAGCCCGATCTGCTGTATTTTTTGTGTTTTCTTTCTGCCATAATATAATTTTGTGCTTTTTTCTTTTCCTGGCTTAGTGCTTTCAAGGAGAACCCACATCCTGATGAAAAGGCAAGATTGGAACTTAGTAGGAGATTAAACTTGGAAAACAAACAAGTTAAATTTTGGTTTCAGAATAGAAGAACTCAAATGAAGGTATAATTATTATGTAAGAATGGCAGCTTTTTTTTTCTTGTTGATTGTTTACATGTAAACTGAAACTTGTCCCTTTTCTTATTTGTACTGAATGACTTAGACACAATTAGAGAGACATGAAAATGCTATACTTAAACAAGAAAATGATAAGCTTCGGATAGAGAACATAGCAATGAAAGAAGCAATAAGCAGCCCAATGTGCAACCAGTGTGGAGGTCAAGCCATACTTGGTGAAGTACACGTGGAGGAACATCATTTAAGGCTTGAGAACACACGTTTAAGGGATGAGCTTAACAGAATCTGTGTCTTGGCCAACAAGTTTCTTGGAAAGCCTATTTCGCCTTTCTCCGGTTCAATGGGGAATACTGATTTGGAACTCGCTGTCGGGAGAAGCAATTTTGACGCATGGAATGTACCAAACAATGACTATGATAATAGATCAATGGTAATGGATCTTGGTTTTACGGCTATGAATGAGCTGTTGAAGCTGGCTGAGATTGGTGAGCCTTTATGGCATCGAAGCGTAGATGGGAATGGAGAGGCATTAAATATTGAGGAGTATGATAGGACATTTCGTTGCTGTATTGGAATGAGACCTCCTAACTTCATCACTGAGGCAACTAGAACTACTGGCACTGTATTGCTCAATAGTATGGCCATTGTGGAGACCTTAATGGATGCTGTAAGTAAAATGCTTTTTTGAGATTTTTTTTGTATAATTATTTATATTGTTGTATTAATCGGAGTATATTTAGACCGGTACACGTTATTTCAGAATCGATGGGCAGAAATGTTCACTGGCATTGTTGGAAGAGCCTCAGTCATTGATGTGATATCCAGCAACCCTAGTGGAAGTAGAGATGGTTCCTTGCAGTTGGTATGTATCCTCTTTCTTTGTTTTGTTTATAGATTTATAGATTTTCTTGTTTTTGAAACCATTTAGGGCCTGTTTTGTAAGGGTTCTCCTGATGTCTGAAATGGCAGAATCTACAAAAGAAAATTTGTTTCATTTCAGAGGTTGAGCCAGTAGTGACTTGGAGCCTGTTTTGGCTAACTTATGCTAGATGTGATTCTAATAGTGTTTCAGAGGTTGCGCGGTTATGGATGCCAAATAGCCTTATTGTCCTTTTCATTGAAACTAGAGATTGAAATATTTATACAATTGTAGATGCATGCTGAACTTCAAATTCTGTCTCCATTGGCACCCCTTCACAATGTAAAATTTCTCCGGTTCTGCAAACATCATGCCGAAGGTGTGTGGGCCATTGTTGATGTTTCTGTGGATGGCTCACAACCACATGAATTTCAAAGCTGCAGAATGCTTCCTTCAGGCTGCATTGTCCAAGATTTACAGAATGGTTATTCGAAGGCAAGTAAAAAATATTTTAATTCAAGATCAGCAAAAAAGAGTGCAAAATGGCTTGTATTTGTAATCGAGTAATATAATATAGGAACTTCGTTTTTCAGGTTTTATGGATTCAACATATGGAATATGACGAGAGTATGGTCCACAATTTCTTAAAACCATTGATAAGGTCTGGTGTGGGTCTTGGAGCACAAAGGTGGCTTGCCACCCTACAGAGGCAATGCGAGTGCTTAGCTGTCATCATGTCTCCCTCTATTCCTAGTGCAGAAAGTTCAGGTCTTTCAGCTTTTACCCCTGTACTTTAAAGGATCTTTTTGGAATCTGGGAAATGCTTGAGAAGAAACATAATAAGGAAAATTGAGAGAAAAAGAGAAGAGAAGAATAGTTGATGGACAATACATGATAGAGTTGAAAATTCATACTTGATTAATATATTTTACTCTTTTCCAATCTTATTCTTCTATTATATAGAGTTACAGTCCTTAATATATGTTTTTCCATCTATTCATGTGTCACTTTCCTTCACATTTTCAATGATAAAAACAAACATAAAAAGTAATATTCTTTTAGGCTGTTTTTGGAATGCAGAAAATGGCATGGAAATAAAGTAGTTTTTTAATGTTAAGTTTTAGCTTCCTCAACAGTTACGATAATACAATTTGATCAGAACTTTTTGAAACTATCACATACTAGTATTTATTAGCTTATGTACATTTGAAATATAGCAATATAATGAGTTAGAGCTAGTACCTAAAATTGATTCATTGACTCTCAAGTCTCAACAAACCCCCACCCTAAATTTCCATCCTTTCAAAGTTTCCATCTACTTCCCTTCTTTCTATGCCTGCCTTTTTCTTTCTTACATCCAAACAGACACCTAAACTTGGTTATTCTAAATAAATTGTTTATGGAGTTTAGTGGTTGAAAATTCTGACGGAAGCTAATCATCAAACATGCAATTGCAGTTATTAGTCCAGGTGGCAGGAGGAGTATTGTGCAATTGGCACAGCGCATGACCCGTAGCTTTTGCGCTGTCGTCTGTGCAAACATGTACAGGTGGGATCCAATCCAAACCGGGAACGGAAATGATCCTGCTGCTGTTAGGTTGAGCATGCGTAAGAGTCAAGGAGAGCCGGGAGAGCCGCCGGGAGTGGTGTTAAGTGCAACCAAGACCATTTGGTTGCCGATTACAAGGCTGCGCTTGTTTGATTTCCTAAGGAGTGAAGAAACCAGGAACCAGTGGGATGTCTTGTCCAATGGTGCCTTGCAACAGATGATCCACATTTCTAAGGGCCAGACCGATCCTGCCAACAGAATCTCTATTTATCGAAACGTTAGTGCACAAACTTTTTGAACTCCGTTAAATCCACACTTATTGTGCGAACAGTAAGAGTCATGCTTTGTGTCAAAATGCACAAAAAATGGTCCATTTTAAATTTGATGATGTTTTGTCTAAAAAGTTGGTTTTTTTACACCACATGGTTTGTCAGAATATTTGACATTGCACCCTGTATTCTATTTCTTTGAGCATGCACCCCAAAATGAAGTGCAAACTCAAATATTAAGGGAAATCATGGGGATGTAAAAGCTCAAATTTTAAGACTAATTGTAAGTGCAAAGTTTACCAAATAAGGTTGACACTAATGCAAGTATAACAAGTTATCATTCGAGAGACATTCTCCAATGAGTTCCTGTCATCTCTCATATGGAAAAGTTGAACTTTTGGTCCTACAACTATTAAATATTTTCTATTTTGGTCCCTAACTTTTACTTTTTTCACTTTTACTTGCTGATTCTTTGTAGCTTTGGTCTTTTTTCGACATCTCCGGTAAAAACTAACTTAAAATTGTAAGGAGATTGGCGGGATAAGTGGTCGGAAAGACTATAGGCCAGGGTCCGAAAGTAGGAATGACCTAAAAGTTGAGGCCAAAACTGTAGCTTTTTCGTTCTCCTTTGTGAAGCACCATCTTGACTTTTTGGCCTTTTTGACGTGCAGACTGCTTCAGCTAGTGTGAATCAGAATAGCATGTTGATGTTGCAAGAGTCGTGCACTGACGTATCTGGGTCCATCATAACATACGCTTCAGTGGGTGCACAAGAAATGACACTTGTGATGAATGGAGGGGATTCTTCCTGTGTGGCTCTCCTTCCATCTGGATTCTCCATAGTTTCAGACTGTTTTAACAACACTGGTTGGTTGGATGATTCCAAAGGAGCCCCTTCAATAGAAGGCAATGACAGCAACGGATCTTTACTGACCGTCGGGTTCCAAATGTTAGTGAGCAGCTCGCCAGGAGCAAAGCTTACGTTGGAGTCGGTCGAGACTGTTAACGCACTTATCTCACGTATGGTTTTGGATATCAAGGCTGCCTTCCTTTGCAACTGACGGAACAAGGGCACATTTTCTTTTTCTTTTTGTTGGCCAAGTAAAGAGCCCTTGCATATATATATAATATAGCATATATATTGGAAGGTGACAACATACGGTGGGCTAGGAGGGTTTTGAGTCAAGAACGAACCGAACATGGACCCTCAAGATGGGTTGAGGTCTTTGAGGCAAATCAACGGGAGGGTTGTGGTTCGGGTATTGACTCCGGTGATCCGTAAAGATGATAAGAATCAGACAGAGCTCCTTGTAGCACTTATTTTTTTTGTCTTTGAAGTGGCTGTATTGTGGCGAGGGACTCATTTGTCATTGTGCTGCTTCTGGACTATTTTGTTGGACTTTTAAGTTACTCTGTGGGTTATAATTTCTTAATCACTGCACTGATTTTAATATTTTTTAAAATTTGCCATCTATACTTTTGATAAAAGTTAATAATACTAAAACCGAGAGAACTGTGATATGGAGTGTAATCTTTGTAGTGATCTGAGAAAACAACCTATATATGTGTCAATGTGCGTGCGTGCGTGCATATAAATACGAGTATCAGGTAACATACTAACATGTAGTGAAAAATCTATTAGCAACCCAACTAGGGGTGGCCCGGGTGATGATATATAGTTGGGTTGCTAAGCATTTGAGTCGAGTTTGAGTTAACCTCTTGTGACTAGGGTTGGACCGCCCCCCAGGACGGGTTTAGGTGGTACTAAAATTTTGGGCTTAAGGCTCGGTACTGGCTTGGGATTCTACCGGGCCGGGCCGGTCTACCCGGGTCGGGCTGGGCTGGGATTTTATATTATCCTCCGTTCTTTAATTCTTGCAACACTTTGACTTTCACAGTTTCACGTTTGTCAATACACAACTTTGACTGTACTTATACGTAGTATTTAATTATGTATTAGTAAACATTATAAAGAGTTGATATTTTGGAAATTCACATTGATAGAAATTCAATAACATTTTATACGAAATAATTTGATTATGTATATTAGTATAAAATTGTGGTCAAAGTAAGATCTGTGAATAGTGCAAAAGTCACAATGTTGCAAGAATTAAAGAACGGAGGAAGTATTATTTTTTGAAATCTTGTTTAAAAATTATTTCTAGTAGTGCTAGACAATAAAAAGTTAAAGTAAATTTATTTGAAATATGAACTACAATTGAGAATTGAGAAAAATTTAAAACATTAAATACATTTCCCAAAAACATTAAATACACTTCATGGTTGTTGTTTCACCATGAAGTGGCACGTGGGGGTGATGCTAAGAGCATCTTCAATGCTATAGTTTGCACGGAGCACATGTGGTATGAAAGATAATTACAAAAATATTAGCAAATAAATCATCTCACTCCTTATTTGAATGATTTTATACAATTTTAGTAAGTTTTACCTTGTAATGTCAACATCTAGACGGTCTTCTTGACATTATGGAGAAAAACTTACAAAAACTGCATAAAACCATTTAAATAAGGATATAAGAATTTATTTACTAATATTTATGTGGTTATCTCAATAGAAATTGCTCTAAATAGGAGCAAAAACGTTTTGAAATTCCAAAATAGGAGTATCATATTTTTTATTCCCTGGATAGGAGTAATCTGCCAAGTTTGAAAAAAAATGCCATGAATAGGTCATGTAATCTGCCAAACTTGGTAGAAATTTACTCTTATTCAAGGAATAAAAAACATGATACTCCTATTTTGGAATTTTAACACTTTTTTACTCCTATTTAGGGAATTCTCCCTTATCTCTAATGCCACATGTGCACCATGCACATTGTAGCATTGGAGATGCCCTAAGTTCTTGAGTTCTACGTTCGGCCTTCAACCAATCGTGGAAGCAAACAAGTGTCTCAAAAGATTTTGCGTTCAATCTCGTTCTACAATCCGTTAGAACGTTGTCGGCCGCACTAAATTCGTGTTCCATTGTAACTATTGATATCGGCATTGCTAGCACTTGCTTGGCCATCTTTGATAAAATCGAGAACGTTCTTTCTTTTTCCTTCCACCACTTCAGAACGTCAAAGTCATTCTCGTCTTCATAGTCAATAGGAAACGTTAGATATAAAGAAAGCTCATTAACTGAGCTTTGTGCAACAACGGGAGTTGTTTTACCTTTTTTCATAAAATTGCCAAATGTAGATTTCAAAAATGATTTTCCTTTAGATGAATAAAATGTTTGTGATGGGGGGGGGGGAGGGGGGTTGTGTTCTCATATTGTGCATGCAACTCATTATATAATTGATGAAATAAATTACTAAACTCGTTGTATTGCTCTTTATGATCTATGAGTTATCTTTGTACATAGGAAATTGACCAAAAAAAGAAGCATAATAGTACTCTAAACAATTTTGAAAAGCATTAAGTTTGAAACGAGGATCAAGAATAAATGCAATACCATATATATGCCGAATATGTGAATACAACAACAACATTCAAGCCTTAGTCCCAAAAGATATTGGGGTCGGCTAACATGAATCGATACATGATATCACCATCAAATGGAAAAGAAAGAAAATAAAGATAAAAAAGATAAGCTATTATAAAAAGAATATAAAAAGAGATGAATATACATAAAAATGATAAAATAAAAAGGATACAAATAATGCTTATATATAAGGATAAAAAACAAGGAAAAAAAGATGAGGGGAAAAGATGATACAAGATCACTCCTCCACATGAATACTCGTCGCCCTCCACTTAGCTCTTTTCAAAGTCATGCCCTCCTCCAACCCCAGAAGAAGCATATTCACATGCTGAATATGTGAATAATATTTTAAAAACTTTTCTTTCATGTAAGAATAAAAATGATGAACGTAAGGGGCATCGGAAAATTCAGCAAAAGCACCAGCGAGATTAACAACTTCAACAAAAAATTGGTTTGCGGTAGGTTTATAAACATGACTAAAAGTTTGAGTTGCATTATTTAAATATACCAAAACATTGACAATTTTTTCCATAGTGTCGATGTCAGTCGGATTTATAATATAGTTAGCATATTCTTTTAAAAAAGCAGGAAAACGGTCTTTAAATCTAACAAGTACAGCAATTAAGTTATGAGTACTATTCTAGCGAATAGACAAATTTTTAAGAAATTGACAATATTTCACACGTCTATATCTCAAAAATTGACGTCATTGCATTTTTAGTGGATTACTAGCCCAAATAAGTCTAATTCCCCTTTTCACTATCTTCATAGCATCTCCTAACGCGGCTAGCCCGTCTTTTACATATAAATTGAGAAAATGACATGCACAACGCTAATGAAAAAACCTACCCATCAAAGTAAAAGAACCACATAATTCATGCAATCTAACATCACTATTATTACTAGCATTATCAAAACTCATAGCAAACACCTTATCAATCAAATTATATTCAATTAAATACGGCTCAATGAGAATATAAATATTATCAGCGGTGTGTTGATCATTAAATTAATGAAAAGCAAGAACACGTTTATGCATTTGTCATTCATCATCAATATAATGTGCAGTGACACCCAAATAATAGAAATGATGATGATTATCCTCCCATATGTCACTACAAATACTAACACACCCATCAAAGTTTGCGAAAAACATTTGTAATTTCTCCTTTTCCAAACCATATTATCTTATAACTTCTTTTTTAATGATTTTGCGACTATAATTTCAAAATTGATGATTTAAAGAACCTTGAGCATAAGCTTTTAAAGTAAGACTTTCACAAAAAATAAAAGACAAATTTTTTTCAACAATTAAGTGAGACATAACAGTTAAATGTTTGGAATCATCATAAGAGAAATTACCATAGGGTTGGCCAGTTGCAATACTTGATATTTGAGTTTGCTTCCCCTTGCCTTTTAATTTGGCATACTCCACGGGGTGACGGACCTTAATATGTCTATCGGCAATGTCGTTTCCTTGTGAAATCCCCAAGCTAATATCTTTCTTAGGAGGTGTTTGGATCCGATTCTTAAAACTGCTTCTGCTCCTTCAGGGAGCAAAAGCAGAAGTTGGAGTGTTTGGGTGAAAATGCAGAAGTGATTCTGGTGCTCTAATTTACTCCTAGAATCAGTTTTTTTAGAAGCTGGGGGGTACCAGCTTCTGAAAACTGATTCTGATTCTGCTTCTGCTTTAAAAAAGAAGCAGAAGCAGAATCAGTTCCAAACACCCCCTTAAAATGCTTGCAAGTTGCGTACGACTTCTCAGTTGCCGGGTCCTTCCACTTTTTATAATTATTTTTCATAAGGAGAGATTCACCATTCTTATCGAATTGGGATGAACCAGCCTCGTCCTCTTCGTGGGTGTCATCGTCCGGGGTTTGAGAGCCGCCTTGTTCGTCCTCGGCCGTCGGAGGATCCTCCTCCTTCGCGTCCTCATTCTCAAGCTCTTCCTCAATGTCGGGGATGTCATGTTCTTGATAAAAGTGCTCATCTTGTTGGGCCAATAGTTGTTGTAGTTGTGCATCGGACATCGCATCCGCATCTCTCTGTTGGTAATCCGTTTCAAAATCATCCCGGCTTTGAAAAGAATACCCAACATGTCCTTTACCTTTGCATCGTGAATGAGGATGGGTCTTCCCAATCTCCTTTTTTCGATTGCGTTGGAGGTTACCCATATATACAGAATGTCTACCACGTTCCATCTTAAAATATAACAAATATTAAATTCTAACAAATATGTTATGTGAGTACAAAAACAATGCAAGTAATAACAAATGTAAGTAATTTGTAACAATACTAAAAAATGTGACTTTTAAATTAAAATGTAAGTAATGTAATTATAATATAAAAATGTGACTTTTTTAATTAAAATGTGACTAGTAAAATTAAAGCAAAATTACAAGTAGTATAATAAATACTTTAATCCAACAAATGTTAATATAACAAGTGTAGTAAATTAAATAAAATTGCAACTAGTTTAATAATTCAATATAACAAGTGTAGTAAAATTAACTAAAACTCTAACTAGTTTAATAGTTTAATTAACTAAAATTGCAACTAGTTTTATATTTTAATCTAACAAGTGTACTAAATTAACTAAAATTGCAACTAGTTTAATAATTCCATATAACAAGTGTAGTAAAATTAACTAAAATTCCAACTAGTTAAATAGTTTAATTAACTAAAATTGCAACTAATTTTATATTTTAATCTAAAAAGTGTAGTAAATTAACTAAAATTGCAACTAGTTTAATAATTCAATATAACAAGTGTAGTAAAATTAACTAAAATTCCAACTAGTTTAATGAAAAATGTAACTAATAGGAAAAATGTATGAATGTGTATACTAATTAATGTGAGTGTGAGTGTGTGAGTAATAAGATAAATTTAACCAATATTAATTAAAGTGTAACTAATATATAATATAGTGTTTATAGTACATAATATATACGTATATAATAAGTAGATATTAAGTAGATATAAAGTACTCCCTCTGTCCTGCAAAGAAGTTCTCGCATTCCTTTTTTAGCAGTCCCAAAAA